CTCATCTTCGGCAAGACCACCACCACAGAGTTCGCCGCCACCACCGACGGCCCCAAGACGCACAACCCCCACGACCCCAAACGCACCCCGGGCGGCTCCTCCTCCGGCTCCGGCGCCGCCGTCGGCGACTTCCAGGCCCCTCTCGGCCTCGGCACCCAGACGGGCGGCAGCACCATCCGCCCAGGGTCTTTCAACGGCATCTACGCCCTCAAGCCGACGTGGAACTCCATCTCCCGCGAGGGCCAGAAGATCTACTCCCTCATCTTTGATACGCTCGGCCTCTACGCCCGCTCCGTTGACGACCTCGACCTTCTCGCTGATGCGTTCGCCCTTGCCGACGATGCTCCGCCTCCGATTGACTTCCAGATCAAGGGGGCAAAGTTCGCCGTCCTGAAGACCGTTGTTTGGCCTCAGGCTGGAGCAGGGACAGTCGCCGCGCTGAAGAAGGCCGAGGAGCTTCTGATGGCGCACGGCGCAGAGGTCGAGGAGATCACTCTGCCTGCGCACCTTGACGGTCTTCCGGATTGGCACGCTACAGTCCTCGACTCGGATGGTCGCACTGCCTTCCTCCCGGATTACACCGTCGCCAAGGAAAAGATCGCTGCGCAGCTGGTCAACCACGTGGAGAACAGCAACAAGGTCACGCGCAAGGCGCAGCTGGATGCGTTTGACAATATGGCCGCAGCGAGGCCGGTGGTTGATGAGATTCTTGGGAAGTATGCGGCTGTCATCGTGCCCAGTGTTGCGGACGAGGCGCCGCTGGGTATTGAGAAGACGGGAAGCGCAGCGTTCTGTGTCATCTGGACGGTGAGTCGGGAGTTCCTTGTCTTTGCTTTACGCCCTCTGACGTGTTACAGGCTCTTCACACACCCGTCATCAACGTGCCTGGATTCAAGGGGGAGAACGGCATGCCAATAGGCGTGTCGCTCGTGGCTCCGCGCTACCACGACAGGAAACTGCTGGCAGTCGCCAAAAAGGTTGGCGAGGTATTTGAGGCGGAAGGCGGGTGGAAGCGGTCTGTTTGAGATGCAGAATAGTGGTCATGATGACAAAGTCTCATAGTCGGCGTTGAATGACCAGCTGCGTCGGTCTCTGGGAAATGAGGTGGATTTGACCAACAACGATATCCAAGCAGCAGTTCCTTCCCTGATTTGACGAATCATTGTCCTGAAATCAGTCTGTCTTGTTACCACGACTCTTCTCAGCCCCTGAGCCATGCCGACAGGACGATGCACGCTCGTGATAAATAACACGCTGGATTTGTTGGTCTCTCCTTGTACGTGTGCTCACCACCATGCCTCTGGTACCCTTCTCTTCTGCTTCCGACGTTCTGCCCCAAGACGAAAACTGACAAGTTTGGGGATCATCCTCCCAGTGTCCTCTGCAATACGGTTCGCATGAGCAATGTAACTCTTCCTGACTTTGGCCCCATGTTCCATCAACATATCGACCAGCAATGATCCCACATGCTCAGTGTCCCGATCACTGAGCAGACTGATGGCCGCGTCCAACGGCTGTATGACTGACTCCGGGTTCTCCGTGGTGGCGCCGTACTCGAGAAGAATCTCTACCCGCATCCTTTTCCACTTGCCGCACCCATCCTGATCCCACCTGTCGTCGTAAGGGTTACCGGGTAAGACGAGATCTCCCGTATCAGGCCTCAAGATAAACCTCGAGAGCGCACAAAGATGGTCGGGTTGATCAAAAGCGTCTGGGTAGGGCTGGAAGTTCGGGACCGTGTTGATGTAATCACGTCCTCCTTGTTGGAGGATGTATCTGAGAAGGTGTGGGCTCTTGATGAAGTCGATGAGGAGGTGACATCCTTTATATGTTTCCGTAATGCGTACGCCTGATTCAATCATTTCGCCGGCCAAGATAGAGTTGCCCTTCTCGCATGCTTCGAACAGTGCCCAGTCCATCTCCCAGAGAGGGCCGCGGACTGTTTCGAACTCCCAGAGCTGGGGGCAGACGTCCTTAACGTCTTCGATCCAGATTTCGCCTTCGGGGTTGAAGTAGATGTTTGGATCGACGGGGTATTTTGCTATGATGGGAGATGTGGTGCACCAGTGGGCTGATGAGTTTGTACCAGCGTGGGTTGGAAAATGTTCAGCGGGTGATGACGGCGAGGGTGTCGATAGCAGACGAGGTTGAGCAGGGGCTGCATTTCTATTTGACACGAGGTCCGGCATGGAAATTCAAAAAGCCATGCTGTGGTGGCGTCTTTTGATGAACTCAAAGGTGTTACGGGCACCACAGCCTCGGGAAAGGTGGCGTCGGAGGCTCCTTCTCTTCTCCTATATTCGACACTCTCATCACTCTTACTCTCTCACAAAGACCGGCATCCACTCCAACGGAGCATCGACCTCAATCCACTTCCCTCCCTCAAACGTATCCTTCTTCTCCTCATCAAACAGCCGCCACCGCCCTTCGCTCAGCTTCGGCAGGTAAACCCTGATCTTCCTCTCGCCCGCCTTCAGAACAGGACAGCACAGATACTTATCACCGTACATGTACTGCGTTCCAATACGCCAGCACTCCGTATCACCCGGGAACTGGTAGAACAGCGTCCTCATAACCGGCGTCCCCTTCTCGTGCGCCTCGGTCATCAGCCCGCGGGTATAGTCCCTCAGCGTCTCCCTCAGGAGCATGTACTTCTTGCAAATCTCATACACCTCGGGTCCATAGCTCCACACCTCGTTGGGCGCGCCGCTGACGCACGTCGCGCCGCCAGTGGTGCCGTGCTGCGGCTGCATAGGCTCGCGGCAGCCGTGGAGGCGCATCACGGGGCAGAAGGCGCCCCATTGGAACCAGCGCACGAAGAGTTCTCGGAACTTGTCGTCGGTCGGGTCGCCGCCGTGGAAGCCGCCGATATCGGTAGTCCACCAGGGCAGACCGCTGAGACCCATGTGCAGGCCCGCGGCGACTTGGTTGCGGAGGCTGTCCCAGGATGAGGCGATGTCGCCGCTCCACACGAGGGCGCCGTATTTCTGGCTGCCTGCCCAGGCACACCGCAGCAGATTGACGACATTCTGTTGGCCCTCGCGGGTCATGCCTTCGTAGTAGGCCTGGGCGTAGTGAAGGGGGTAGAGGTTACCGATAGCGGTGTTTGGGCCGAGGTGGTAACGGTAGTTGTCAAAGTCGTAGACTGTGTATTCCGGCTCGGCCTCGTCCAGCCAGAAGATGCGGATTCCCTTGTCGTAGTAGTTGGTCTTCGCCTTTTGCCACACATACTCCCTCGCGGCCGGGTGCGTTGCGTCAAAGTGTACAGTGTCGCCCTGGAAGTCCATAGCGGTGCGGATGCCCCTATCAGTGCGGATGAGCAGGCCCTTCTCGAGCATCTCTTCGTAGTTCTCGCAGCGCTTATCGACAGTGGGCCAAATGCTGACCATGAGTTCGATCTTGAGTTCTTTCAGCTCCTTGATCATGGCGTCTGGGTCAGGCCAGTAGGTCGGGTCGAACTTCCATTCGCCCTGAAGCGGCCAGTGGAAGAAGTCGATGACGATGAGGTCGATGGGGAGCTCCCTGCGCCTATACTCGCGGGCGACTTCGAGCAGCTCGTCCTGCGTCTGGTAGCGCAGCTTGCACTGCCAGAAGCCGAGGCCGAATTCGGGCATCATGGGCACCTTTCCGGTGGCGTCGGCGTAGGCCTCGACGATCTGGGAGGGCTCGTCTCCGGCAACAATCCAGTAATCGAGGGCATTTGTCGACAGTGCTTCAAAGGACATGATGTTACGGCCCAGGAAGGCGCGGCCGATGGAGGGGTTATTCCACAGCAGGCCGTAGCCAAGGGACGAGACCGCAAAGGGCACGCTCGCTTGAGAGTTGCGGTGGGCCAGCTCCAAGTCGTGGCCCTTGAGGTCGAGGAAGGGCTGCTGATACTGGCCCATCCCGAAGATCTTCTCGTCAGGGTCGACGCTCTCGAAGCGGGCCGTCAGGTGGTAGCTGTCGCTGTTGGCGATGGGCTTGAACTCGCGGGCGTCGACCTCGAGGGCGCTGCACTTGGGATCCGTCACATCCCTACGGTTGCGAGAAAACTCTTCAAGAAGCAGGTCTCCTTTGGAGTTGTGGATTAGGATCTTGCCGCGGCTTGTGATCTGTGCCTTGATCCTGCCGTTCTCAATGGTGCCGCCCTTCTTCTCATCGATGGTGATGGTCGGGGTGACCTGCTTGAGAGCCAGAAGTGCCCAATCCTCATTTGGCATCTGACGGCTTCGCGTCGATCGGACGCGCAGGGCATTGGGACCCCATGGCTGTATCCAGACTTTCTCGGCGTCGTAGCTGAAGACCAGCTTCTGGTCGACCTCTGTGATCATGGTGGAGATTGGTGCTCAGATGTTTGACGAGTGATTGAGGAGCAGCAGCTGGAGGCGAGGAGGGGCTGGAATTGCTTCTCTCGACGATGACCCCTGACCGGGTCGCATCGCGGGGACCTACGGGCTTTTGTGCCCAGGGGCATGCATGCATCGTGTTGCAGCGGCTGCTGCCCACCCCCTCGTCGGTCAAATGATCGCCTTTTCTTCCCCACGACGCGGGATGTCGGCGAGGTCAATGGCGCGGCAAGACGGATGTTGATCCGCGTGTCGGACAGCGCGGGGAGGTGATGTTCGGTGGAACGAAGCTCGAGAGAAGCTTGATGGAATCACCAATCGGTCGCGCTGAAAGCCGCATCACCCCGCTGTCGGGGTAGCTCGACCCCGCTACGAAGCGCTGGAAGGTTCACGCTGGCGGGCGGATGCCGTCGATGCCGGGGTTTGACAGCGGGGTCAGGCCCTGAAGCCATCGCGTCGGGTCGAGTCTCGGGCCTGTCCGGCGGCGGCACTGCAAAAGGGGTGGTGTCGGATGCTGCTGTGACGGGAAGCAAGGAAGCGAGACGAAGAATTCAAAGGGTGTGTCGAGGAAACACACTAGCGGTGAGAGAAGTTCTATTGTGTTTTCTTTTGCTGGCAAAAGAAAGAACAAGGGAGCGGAGGCAGGGCGGGAGGGAAAAAGCAAAAAGGAATTCTCCCCGACCGGAGTCGAGCCGGTGACCTTCAGGTGAAATGCACAATTACAGCCCGACGTGATAGCCAACTACACCACAGGGAGTTGATTGGATGAACGGCGGATGTGTCCTGGCATCCATCACATTTTGGAAAATCGTGATACTACACATCACGTATGTTAATCAAGCAATCAGGGGCGATTTGGGCGTGTTTGTGTTCCTGACTGACGGAAGGGGCAATGCTGGGCAAAGGCAGTCTCGATTGGCTCTAGTTGATTTCCAGGAACAAGCGCTCCGGGTCGTCATCGAGAAATGACATGATATGGCGATGAAATCATGACGACATTGCTGTAGATCCAGGCCGCATGTGACAGCTCGCAATCAACAGCAACAGCAATTGAGCAAGCTTTCGGAGCTCAATTTGCAATCTTCACTCTTTCACACTGCAAACAATCCCAAAGTGACCGATCTCAATTCTCACCACCAACAACCACAAGCTCAAACCACCTACTACATCCTCACCATGCGTCGCTCCATCAAACTCCTCGCGACGCCGCGACTCCCCATGTCCCCTCTTCCCAGGACACTCCCCCTCGGCCTTCGCGCCTCCCGACTCTCGCCAGGCTCCGCCTTCGCCAGCACATCTTCCCCCAAAGAAGCCGAGAAGGCAAGCGCGCAGTCCGGCGGCTCGCGCAGCAAGGACTTCAAGGAGAAGCACGAGAAAGAGGAGCAGGAAGAGGCCGCCGCAAAGCACACCGGCAGCACCACCCTCCACGACAGCCTCGCAGAGAGCGATGCCAGGGGACGCACCGGCGGAGGAGAGCCCCTGGAGAGCTCCGACCACCCGCCTGCGCAGCCCAAAATTTGGAATGCTGGCGCGCCTGCGGAGAGGGAGAAGTTGACGGATGAGCAAAAGGCAGATGTCGATGCGCATAATAAGGAGTTTGAGGAGAGGCATGCCCGTGCGTCGCCGGCTGAGGATGATAAGGTGGACAAGTCGTTCTGGAGCCCGGATGATGGCAAGTCGGTGAAGAAGTGAGCGGAGCATGGGATTTGCAGTATGAGGGTGTAGGAGAGGAGATGAGCACTGCTTTTTGGGGAGAAGAGGAGTTACACTGCGAAAATGTTCGGAAATGAATATGGCCTACCTATATTACCTTGACCTCGCACCACTGAAGTGTATCACTTCGCGGTTGGGTTTTTTTGGCTTCGCAATATCGGCTTGAAGATGGGCCGTTTCGATACACCGAAAAATATTGAACCATCAATCCGGAACACCAGAATGCTACCGACATCCTATCCCGCATTTCCAGAGTCCTCGGGCCCGTGAATAATATCAGGCATCCCGCACCTACAAGTAGAGGCATATGATGCACAGTGCTCACAACACCAACCCCTAGGAGCTGGCTCCTCAAAGGGGGACACGATATCTTCAACTTCGCGATGTCCAACCATCTGGCACGCCAGCATTGTATCGCCAACATGAGAGGACTGGATTCAACAACTCAAACCATCAGTTCAAAGTCCAAAATACTGACATCGAATTTGTCCAAATCTGATGCCCCAGAGGCATGCCAGATCCCGGCCCGGCCCCACTCGCCGGACCAATGCCGACCCAGCGCCGGGGAGCTTCAAGACCCCGACGCTCATGCAATGTACCCCATCCTCTCCGTCCGAGACCCCTCGATCCCCATCCTTCACCGGTCGAGATCCATCTCACCAACGGCAAGCCTCCTAGCCCTCAGCTCAACGCCCAGCATCAGCCTCACCAGGGATGCCAATGCCGCCAACATGGACTCGATACCGTTCCACCTCGTCCTGCTGCTCCTCTTCGGACTGCTCATGTTCAACCTGGACGCGAGCATAGGACAGCTCTACCGCAGCGGCTTCGTCAGACATATCCGCGAGCTTCTCGACAATGATCCGGCCTACCTCCCGGACACGGCCGACACGGTCGTCAAGAGCTTCACCGGCGTCCGCGTCGTCGACCGTCTCCTGGTGTCCCTGAACATCATCAGCTCCAGCTTCACCGATGGCTCCAACCCGGCCCTGCAGCTCGTCGGCTTTCACTACATCGGCCAGTCCGTCGCCCTCTACCTTCTCATCAAGATCGAGAGTCACCGGCTGGCGCATCAGCAGAGCCCCATTCGCTTGTAAGATATCCCCAAACACACTCACCTGCAGGATCAACTGACATACTCTTAGTGCAACCCTCTGGGCCGTCGCGATGCAAGTCTGCACCATCAGCAACGTCTTCCCCCTCTACTGCATCGCCCACCTCATCACATCCTACTTCCAGCCCCGGCCCGACAGCGTCCGGTACCGCGACCCCGGCCGGCTCGTCGCCGTGCTTCCCGCCCTCCTGCCGGGCTACTTCTTCGTCACCGCCCTCGTCGGCGCTCCTTTCAAAAGCGGCGACGCCCGCCAGTGGATCACGGCCCTCTACCAGCTCTACCCATTCTATGTCGCCTTCTTCCAGTTCCTCGCCACAAAGGCCGTCGAGCGCCTCAGCCTCGGCCAGTACCAGACTGCCACTCCGGCCGAAACGGAGCGGGACGCTCTCATGCATGTCTACGACACAGCCTACGGCCTCGCCGCCTTCACACAGTTGACCACTTATCTCGTGCTTGCCGCCGCTGCCCTACGCCCGGACCTCTTCTCAGAAGCCATCGCTGCCCGCCTGACGTGGCGCGAGGCGTTCGTGCCCACACGCCCACCTCACTCGGCCGCACGGTGGACCACGGCCGCAGAGGTCGTGCATAACGGATACCTCTACTCGCTACTTACCCTATCCGTCACATCGATCGTGTGGGCGTACGCGCTATTCCAGCTAGGCAAGCTCAGGAACCTACGAGGGGGACGGTTCGCCGACACGGCGTGGGGGATGTTGAAGGCCACAGTCGTCGCTGGGCCGAGCGGCGCCGTCGTCGGTCTTCTCCGGGAACGGGACGAGACCGTCTTCGCGGCCCAGATCATGCTGGAGCTCGAAGACAGGAAGATGATTGTCTAGTCGGCGTTATTCCTTTCTTCTCCGAAGATCCACGGGGCCGAGGACACGGGCCTTGTCTGCTATCCTGCTTTGGGGGACCATCTCGAGTCATCACAATCCCATTCTGTCCATCTCCATCTGCCGCCCCAAGTCAAGCGATCACCCCTTAGCGCTGTCAATCCCAGCAGATCCGGGTCCCGAAGTAGCTCGCCCTGCCTTTATCCCCACCGGAAGCGTGTGTAGTGTCTCGAAAGGCTGCGCGCGCGTGCTTGGCTCGTCAGCCAGCCACTGAGACACTTCCTTGTCCTGTCCCCGGTCCCCGTTAGGCCACGCGAGCTCTTCATGGTCCCTAAAGCCGGCGCCATCCTCCATCTTGGGTGGCCTCTTCTGTCGAAGTCGACTGATTCTCCGGGCGCCACTGTCAACCGGCGCGGACAAGCGTCCGCCTGGCGCGGGTGCCTCGCCTACGGGTGCAGTCTGGACCGGTCACGCTGAGTCGCGGACGATTGGGACGATCGAATCGCACGGACGCCCCATCAGGGCCGAACAGGAGGGGAGAGGAGACGAAAGGCAAAGAAGAGGCAGGCTCGGCTCTCGGCAGCTGTCCAATCGACGGCGGCTCATCAGCTTCAGTCCTGATTCGGTGATGGCTTCACGTCTCCTTGGGGGTTAGACCACGAAGCACGCGCCACCGTGCAAACCTTCACCCCCCGGACCATCCCGCATTCAGCTCCCCTTCGTCTGAGTGAGCCCGACGAAAAGGTCCGGGACACGGATCGACCATGTGTGGCGTCCCCCCCGCTCGCGATCGCACGTCCAGGTGATTCGTCGTGTCCACGTTACACGACTCCATCACCACCGTCGTGTCCCGCAGTCTAACCCGCCCAGACACGTTCCTCCGAGGGGAGAGGAATGCCGGGAAGGGGTGATCTACGACCCTAGGCGATCATGTCAGAGATTGTGATGCCCGTTCGCGAGTTCCCATGACCATCCCAGAAGGAGAGTGCGGCCGAGAAGCTCCAGCGCCCCCCTCCCTCTCCCTACGGCCGACACGTGTTTGAGCCCGCGCTACGCAGCGCCGTTCCTGGGCTCGGGCCACCCCAACTGCAGCTGGCCGCGATGCAGCCACCAACGGGGAGTGGTGGAGGGGGGGACTGGTCTCAGTTGAGGATGGGGCGGCCGGCGCAAAGGCAGGGAATCTCTCGCTGAAAAAGCAATATGGTGCAGCGGCAGGCGCTCATGCAGATCGGCCGGGACCGTCCCTTGCCGCCCAGGTCATATATCAGCGCCATGTGGCGCCCTGTCATGGAAACGCTGGCCTTGTTCTCCTCTTCTTCCTCTTTCCCAGCCGTTCATCTCGTGGGTAGACTAATCCAGCCGTCCGACATTCCTTCGAATCCTTCCCGTTGCTGGGTCCCCTCTTGACACACGCCACCACCAACGGACGACTTCACATTCATCTTGAACTTCATCATCACCTCTCACCACGATGAGGCTACCTACTTGGCTTCGCTGGTACAAGAAGCCGGCTTACAGGGACATCAAGGAGTACTCGTCGGCTGTCAGGTCGGGTCAGCGGTCACTCTCCCCTGATGGTCGGAATGCTGGACTCATCCCCCGCATTTGAGCCTTGAGAGGGTGCTCGACAACAAAACATGTATGTGGCAGCCCTTTGTTGTTCATCAACATCGACTGACTTCCATCCAGGTAGCCCGATGAGCTTGTACGACTTCTACATGTACCTTCGGCACATCGAGTTCTCCCCTGAGAACCTCGAGTTCTATCTATGGTACGACTTCACCCTCTCACCCTTGCTAAACATCATCTCACATGTGTGATCAGGTTCAAGAATTACGAAGCCCGATGGGCAAAGCACGCCAGTCGTGAGGAGCTGGGCTTCACCGAAGAGAAGACCCCGACATTCACCATGGCCCACGCCAACTCATCCGAGGAGGAGCTGCGTGCGAGCGAGCAATCATCATCCCCTTACGAGGTCTCCCAGATGGAGCTCGCGAGCCAGCCCATCAACCAGATCATCCAAGCCGCCATCCCCTCCGCCGCCTGCATGGCCGTCACGCGCCCCAAGCCGACCGCCGTTGACCGCCTCAAGTCTTT